CTGTGTTCTCCATTGTCGATGTAATTTTACTCTCATTACTTGTGATAATGTTGTCTAATATTAAGATGGATAATGAACGTGTGCATTTCAGAGGCGGCTGATTTAAAAGCCTTAGACTCAGATGGGTGAACATGTCATCTGACTGGTCTTTCTGGAGAGACCTTGCCCCCTGCATCTTGATCCCAGCAAGAGATAAATGGGGTTATCATCCAGAGCCTTGTTCTTGGCCATTCCCCTCAGGGTTGGGGAAAGGAAATCTCTCTACCTGCCCATGGGCCACGCTCAGATTTCCACGCTGCCAGCACAGAGGCCAGATTTAATTGAAACCAGTTGGCTGGGGGGATTGGTTGTGGGCATTAGCAGTTCATCTTCTATCTCGTTCGAATACTGTCTTGGTAATTAATGACTAAATGAACTTGCTGTCTAATGCCTGAGGCTTCAGGGACATGCGTGCAGCACATGCTGTTGCAGCTGGTGCTATTTTCATCTTCCTTGGTGCAGAAGTCATTGCATAGCTGCCTGGTTCTCTCCAGATTGGCCTCCTGTGGCAACTGTGGTTGTGCAGGTTTAATTTGATCACTGCTGCAAACTCAGCAACACCTAGAGTATCAACACTAAGTGACTTATTTATGAATCAGAATGTGTTGTTTTCTAAATGAACTCTGCAGGCTGAAGGGGAAGGAAGAACAGGTGAAGAGGATGGAGGCTTTGTTAGAAGAAAGGGGGAGAGAAATCGCAAGCAAAGTAAAACAGTTGCAGGTGATGTTTTAGTATGGAGGTGCCCAGTGCAATAAATGGGGAGCGCCTGTCTGTGCATGTGTGTGACGCGGTTCTCTCTCTCTCTGCAGGATGTAACAAAAGAGAACGAACTGTTCAAAGTTCAAATTCAAGAATTAAAGCAAGAGAGCTGTAAACAGGTACGACCTTCACCTCTGCTAGCTGATACTGATGGGTGTGGTTCCCCGGGCTCTGTCACGTTGCATGCTTGTCAGGGGAGTCACCATACTTTCAGCTAGGTTCAGTCCAGAACAATGGATGGAAGTAACATTAGAAATGCATCCAGCTAACAAAATTGTTGGGTCCCGGTCTTTCTTCCTACTTGCCCTTTTATTTCCTAGGGCTTCACTCCAGATTTAGACTCTTACCTACCACAGTCTTGCCTCCCACTCTCTGCCCTTGAGGCTGCATGTTACAGTTGCCAACTGTCTGGCCAAAGACAACTGGATGCCCTGAAAGGCTTAGTGTGGCAGGAAGCACCAATTAACAAAGCCAGGCACATTCTCTGCAATACAACCAGCTGTTGTTCATCTGTTTTTAATTTTTTTCTGATCTGTTTGTAGGCATCTCTGACTGTCCAAAGTGAAGAGCTGCTGCAAGTGTAAGTATTGCCAGAAATCTAAAGGCTAGTAATGTTAATATGCGTCACTTCAATTACTGTACGAAAAACTTGGCCCAAGTAAAAGCAGATGCTTCCCCAGAATATCGGCTTACATGAGTTGTATTTCTTGGTGAAGTTTAGCTGCACACTTGTATTTCTGAATCATAGTCCTTAGCTGTGTCTTGCACCAAATCTCTGCTGAGAACATAACGGAAGCAAGACACTTCTAGCTCAGTTTACATGCACTCCAGGTTCATAGGTAAAGCTTCATGCCTGGAACCGAGACTTAACATTTAAGTTTCCAAAAATGGTAATTGTTGGGTAATCACTGCCTTGCAGTAGATTCTTTTACATGTCATGAAGCAATTTGTGCTCAGGAAGATCTCAGTGATGAATAACATTAGGAATGTCAGGGTGTTCCAAGGTAGAAATGAAACATGTTAAAAACTGCAGAGCTTAGGCCAGGCCTGTCTGCATCAACTTTCACAAGCTTTTCCTCTGGATGTGTTAAAACTCGCCAGCTTTTTTTCTCCAATCAGTCTGGATGGCTTGTGGAGTCAGGAGTGGCTGCTGAAAATTTGCATCCTCATTCAGACAATAGCACTTGATTATGTCTTTGTGCAAATTGGTGGCATGTGTTAATGATGATCTGTCCAGCTAGAAAGCAGAGCCTTTATGTGGTGATTAGTAAATAGTGAACCTACAGATAAACACCCATGTAAGCAAAGAGATCCCACAGGCCAGAAAGCAGTAGAAATCGAGCACGTTTAAGTGGACAAGTCCAGGTTTATGGACAGGCTCCATGAACCTGCCTTGGCAGAGCTTAGGTTTGGAAGGAAGTCTCTGTGTCGTAGTCTAAATATAGTCTTGTATGCAACTGCCTCCCAACTTGCTTGTGACTCTCATGCTAATTCAGTATTGCAGGAAAAGAGACCGAACTTACCAGTCTCCGAAATGAGCTAGCATCTTTGGGCAATGCTGTTGAGCAACAGAGGAAAAAGAACAATGTAAGGAAATTCTTTGTAAACTTGAGGACTATATCTGTATGTACACAACCACACTGTGACCAGTATTCTGATGCCAAGCCAGTAACTCCACTTTGCCATTATACCATGTCACATGCTTGATTACACTCCCTTTTCCTTTTTCTCTTGGGACTGAATTATCTACCCTTGCCTAACACTTGGTTAATTCTTTGTCCAGTCACTGACTCGATGGGCAGGGAAAAATTGCTGGAGAGCAGATTTAATGGCAAATATTCACACACTTAATTTTTAACCTGGTTAACTGTGCTCTGAAATCTAATCTTTAACTTGGGTGGCACACATCTCATTTGTATCCGGTGTACTTAAAATCCAATAAAGGGCATTCCCTTTGTGATGCTCAGACCAGGCTTACCCCACTTCCAGACATATTTTCTCCCACTTTTGCAGTAAGAGCTTATGAGGAGGTAGCAGCCCTTTCATGGCAGCTATTAGTGGTGCTGTATTGATCAATGGATGGGTGTCCAAAGCGATATGTACTAGGTGTATGTCCAAGAAGATACAAGTAACTTCCACAGAAAACATAATTTGTCCCAGACTGAAGGATAAGAGGCTTTACAGATGTTGCAAGAATGAAAGATGGACAGAGTTATGGGATTTTTAGATGATTGTTAAGAGGAGAGTATGAATATACTAAACCTATGTAGATGGTGGAATAGTATGTAGGAATCTGTTCATTGTCTGCCCAGTGTTGGGGCAAGGGTTAAACCTTTAGGTTCAAAAGCTCACTCTCCCCTGCACATTGTATCCAGAGTGCTCTTCCTGTTTTGTAAGCAGCAGTATTGCTGTTGGGAGACTCAAGTTAATAGATGGTTCCTGCAAAAAATGTGGTATGTACAATGTCTAGTTTTTCAGGCCTCTTTTATGTTGCAGCTAGAAAGTGTGGTAGTCTTAAGTCCAGTTTTTTTGCTGGTTAGGTAGCTGGAGAAGTCAAGTTCTCAAACACCCACAGTCTACCCACACAGTGCCCATACCCCTTTCCAGAAAATGGAAGTGGAGTATAGTATTTTTAAATCTAGTTTGCCACCTCCACCTTGGACCTGCAAACTTGCCTGGCAGTATCTTGTGGAGTACACGTTTGATGACCTCGCCAAGAAAGATGCAAGAGCACAGCAAGTTCTGTATTGTTCCCCAGCAGACCTTGTAAAGTGCTCATCACTCTGGCGAAACAGGAATCTTAGAGGAGGGCCACAGTTCTTGGTAACTCAGTGTAACAGAGAGCAGCTCTGCTGGGTACTGCTGTGAAGTGAGGCTCTAACCTTTGTGTCCACACAGACACCCACTGGCTTTGGCTTCAGTCGAGTTGTGCTTGGGTGCAGGGGTCTGCCCAGTCAGATGTATATGCAAGGCTGGGGCTTAAACGCACACCTCTCTGTCTATTTGGGTCCATTTCAGAGTATACAGCTCAACATACCTAACACTCTGTGTAATCTGTGGTTTGGTGTCTGTGTTCCTCACTGCTTCTGAATACTTTTCTCTTTCTTCTTACAAGTGCAGTCAAAGTGTGGGGGTGGCCAACATAATAATGATATGCTTGTTAACACAATAACACTTGATATAGTTCTGAGTACGGTGTGGGGAGAATTGGCATTTTGCTTTTTCATTCAAACTCTTAAACATCCCACTTGTTTTGCTAGTGTACCTCATCTTACCCAGCAAAAATCATCTTGCAGTAACCAGCATTTAAATGCAAATTACTGAATGGAATGCAAAATCTCTGTCTCTGAAGTAGAAGCAGAAACAGTTTGAGTATTGGCTGAACTGAAATCATTCTTTCTAAAAACGATTAGGACCTTCGGGAGAAAAACTGGAAAGCAATGGAAGCATTGGCATCAACTGAAAAATTGCTGCAGGACAGAGTGAACAAGACTGCCAAGGTTGTAATGTTAACTGCTAGAAACGATGCATTAAGCTACAAACAATTCTGCAGCTGGTTTTTTAAATCCAAATGAAGCATTTAACTTTTACTGCAATTTTATATAGAAAAGTCTGTTCTGAGTGATCATTCATATACTTTCACTTCTGCTGCTTCCTGTCTGTTATTTTTCTTAAGTTATGGGCATGCTGATTTTGTTTTGTTTGCATAATTGTTAGAGCTGTTGTGAATCTTTCCTTTTGTGGTGGGTTCCAGAAAATAAAGTTGCTTGATGCTAGTGATTGAACTGCTAGTGGGCTTTTGCTTTGCCTTAATAAGCTTTAGTAGCTTAGTGAAGAGGAACTACTTGATTATTTCGAGGAATTTCCTAATAAACAATTTATTATTCTACCAAAGTTAGTTTGGAAAGCTTAATCTTGAAAGGATAGGAAGCTGTCCAGGCCCTGATGAGCCAAACACGATGAATGAAGCCGTGGGATTTTGGATGAATTGTTCTCAAAGTTGTTTGTTTCTTAATACATGGCCGCACTTATACTAACTTTGCACAAATCACGTAGCATCAAAATAATGAGAGGAGCTGGCTTTAAAGAAAAGCTTAGGGAGCCAGAGTAAGGGGGGGAAATAGTCATTGGGAGTCGTCCATGTCTTAAAAGAAAGCTTAAATGCCCTCTGCTTAGCCCACTCTCGAGAGGATGCTTGTGTAGCTGCTGCTTGCTACAGCTAAATGCTTGTTTTCTTTCTTAAGCAGGCTCTTGCAGCTCATTGATGGAGCTTATACTGTTGAAAACTAACCCATTTTAACCCTATAGCTTCACAGCCTAATGTCTCCCATCTTTATCTCTCTGGATCCCAACTTCCTAATGCCACAGATGACACTTCCAGCCGAGTAACTCCAGAGCAGGAGGCTTGGTAATGTCTATGGCCGGTTGAAGGACAATAGTGTTTGTGTTGAGGTTTGCTTCCCAGAAACTGCCATCAGCACAGGGGGTAGAGGATTTTGCCTTATTTAAAAGTGAACTGGAGCCTCCAGTGAGGAGGAGTCTGAGCTGGCTAAATGGCCACATGCTGCAAGCAGGAAAACTGAATGTTTTGTGGCTAGTCCTGTTTTTAAACATGCCCCATAGTAACTAACTGTGTGGTGTCCATCAGCTGCTTCCTATGTGTGTAAATTTGCTGAGCGATGCCTAAGAAGCCCCCAAAACCTCACACAGCTCTAATAATTATTTTCCATTTCATCTGGGGCTCTTGGAAGGATGGCATAAGGGTCTCCCTGGCAAATGCTGTGAAGTGATCATTAAAAAAAAGACAACCGTGCTTTCTTGGCCTGGTTCAAATGTGCATTAACACAAAGTTTCCTTTTTCCGGCTTTAGTCCTAAGTTAGGGGGTCTGTGGGAAGTATAATGTGTAGAGACGTAAAATGTGATCGGAACCAATATTGATTCAATATTCAGTTGAAATGTTTATTAACTGTTTAGATAACACTTAATTTATCACTGATTTGAGAATGTAATCTGTGAATGCGTTTACTCCATGTAGCACGGTTTTTGCTGTAATAGGATTATTGAGTGATGGTATAACATTTCCTCAGGAATGCTTTAGGTTGGAGGTGAACTTTGATGACAAAAGAATACCAGATTCCTTTGAATATGATGAACTTTTTAAAGCTCAGTATTTCTTCTAAAAATGGCTCTGGGTTTTAATTACAGTTAAAGGCTCTTATGTACTCTATAGAGAGATTTCTTGGGTGTTTTACCCTTAAATTGACCCAAATTTTCTCACATTCAATTTCATATTTGAAGGAATATGGTAAGTAATACAAAGGCCAAGTTCTGAACTAATTTAGCATCAGAAAAATGCTGGTAGTTGATATCATGGAATCTTTGTTAGGCTGAAATGAAGCCCTGGGTTAGATGAAGTATTGTAGGCCTATAAAAAATACAGGCATGCCTGTGAAAAAGGTAGTGCCAGTTTCATCTGAGCCATTTCTCTCCATTTAGGAAAGGCAGCAGTACATGGAGGCAGCTGAGATGGAGACCAGAGAATTGCTGCAGAAACTCTTTCCGAAGGTGTCTCTTCCTTCCAACTTGGTAAGATGCACAGCTGTGTTACTTGGAGCCCTGATCATGGGCTAAGGACCCCATTGCTCTAGACTCCCTGCCTCAAGAAGCTTACAGTGGAAATACATGTGCTCCGTGGTGCACATTCAGTTGTAGTGGCCTTCCTGGCTGCTGGTAATGGACGGGCAGGTGGCACAAACAGCTACTAATGCTAAAAATCCATCTGTTGTTGGTGCCTCATCTGTCCTCCCTTCTATCTATTTCATTTGCCTTGTTATGTTTGGTCATTAACCAAGGTTGTTAACTTTTAAGGGCAGGTATTGTGTCTTAATCTACTGTCTAGTGTAGTGGGTCACTTTTTTTTTTTTTTTTACTATAGTAATGGGCAAAAGGTTTCAATATAATTATTGGCTTGACTTTTCCAGGCAGGCTAAACATATTCAGCCCTTGTAAACAGGTTTATTTCTTTTAAAAAGCTCTGTCTAGAGGGGTTTATAATGTGCACAAAGAAATTGCTTTTCTTCCATAATATATTCAAAAGTATGGAAGAGTAATATACTGTCCTTGAGTCAATTTCTACATGTTTAGAAGATATCAGCGAAATTAAGGTTGCAGAATGGCACTACATCTTGTTCATGAAGTCTTTAGTCTGTTTTAAACACTTTGGCTAAACAATTGAAGACTACTTAATTCTGACTTTAATTAAAGTATAATGATTAGGTCTAACTCATCAAGAGAATATTTAAGTTATACTTACAGTCGGTCAACTTACACATATGAGTATATTCAAAACACAGTAATTTCCAGGTCTTTGCATACTCATTGCAATGTCCCCGTGGTTATAGATACATTTCAGTGCTGAGGTCAACCTTTATTAGTTCTCAGTCCTCATAATTTTTTTGGGGTGGTGCTTCATCCGCTTGAACTGTTACTCACTGGAAGTCAGTTGTGTTTGGTTAAGTACATGGTGCTAGGTATGTAATTCCTTTCAGATTGGAGTTTAGCACATCAGTACTCAGACCTCTATATTCTTAAAATCTACCCCACAATCCTGCAGTTAGGAAACAAAAGTTCCTAAAGAAGTGCTTATCAAGATGTTAAATTTTCGGTGTTTGTAACCAAATGCATTTTTCTCCAACAGAGCCATAGTGACTGGATCCATAGGTTTGAAAAGACAGCAAGAGAATATTTGAGGGAGTGTTCGGGGTCAGAGGAGGTTAAGGTCAGTATCGTTTGTGCCAGACTTGCTGTGCATGATGTATTTTTTGGTATTAAACTTATGGATTACTCCTTGGCTTGTGCTTGTAAGGTTCAAGTCTCATGATAGGGTATGTGAAAACTGAAAACCCTCAACAGTCTCTAAGTTCCTCCTTGCATCCTGTGGCGAATAAGTGTTTGGATGTCCTCTGTGTTGGTATTGATTAGGACTTCTTTGCTGATGAGTAATTAACAGCCCCTGTCTTAACAAACACCCTGTACAGGCATTTACTAGCATCATGGTAGAAGCTAAATCTCTGGGACTTGTCACTTGTGGGATGTGCCTGCCAGCATGACATTGGAAGTTCCTAATGTCTACTATGCCTTGGGGAGGGGAGCACATCCTGGGATGGTGATCTGTTCATCGCTCTTATGTGCTTTAAGAGTTGTAGAAGCTTGCCTGAGGCTGTTGCTCCTTGAGCAAACCACTTCAGACACCGAGAGGAAGTCTTACACCCCAGCTTCAGCCATCTGGTTGCTCTTCATTTGTTAGTGTCATGGCAGCTTTCAAGTTGCTAGCAGCCCCTGGGTCTCTTCTACTTAGCAGTCTGTGAATAGGAACATGCCTCTGCACAGATGTGCTGTACTGGGCCAGAAAGGAGCTGCTGTAAGCATGAGTCAAGCTGTAGGCTTGTCTCCAGTGTCTGACCATTTGAGACAAGAATAGTGTGAACTATTTCAGCCTCGGTCTTCCAAGGACCAAAAGCCTGGAGACAACCTACCACGTCCTCCAAGGTGGCACACGCACCATTCAGTAAAACTGAGTATTCTGGCAGAGAGTGGTTGGAACCAGGCTACCTTCCCCTTGGTATAGATCACTTCTGCAGTACCAAGTCACTTGATGCTCTCTCTGAAGATGGATTGAGCCAGCATGCTTGTCTGGGGATGGGTTGTGGTGGGTGCAGAGATCCCACCTCAGGAACACAGCT